TCAATAAATAACCATCCGTACTAGTCGACCTTGCTTACGTGATAATCTCGGCGAGCATTTCTCCACCGGACGGCACCGTACTTGACCAAGGAAGAGCTCCGATTCTACGAGAAAGGGAACACGGTCTTCCACGACCGTTGCCGCTCTCCCTCGTAGAATTAAAGCTCCTCCTTGACGTCCGTTACCGTTCGACAGAGAACATGCTCGCCGAGCTAAACACGGTCCGCAAGTTCAACTATTACGGATTTTCTACAATTTTCTAACTATTTTCTAAGTTTTTCATTTCTTGGAAAAATTAATTCTAAGATCACGTAAGCCGCCGGGGACGAGGATGGTGCGTGCTCCAGCGAGGACGAGCGAGGCGTGATTTTGATGAACTAATTTAACTTTTGTTTATCCAAACATATATACAAATCATCATGTGATTTTAAGCTAAAAATGACATATAAAATCATAATAAAGTCCAACATATAAAATTACATATGCATCTACATCGCAAAATAAGATAAGCTACTAATAAAATATAAGAGGATTAAGTTTGTTACCTCCAAAATCGAAGAGCAACACCAATGGAGGGGGAGAGAGCAAGAACAACAGCAAGCTGAAGAACAAAGGCAGTGAATTTGAATGGAATGACTCGGGCTCGGGGAGGAAGAAATGAGCTGATGTATAGTCCGGGATAATTAGTCCCGGTTAGGGGGCCAAATCGGGACTAAAGATTAATATTTATTCCTAGAACATCACCCAAACCGGGACTAAAAGCTTTTGTCCCGGCTGGTATTACCAACCGGGACTAAAGATACTAAAGGTTTACCTTTAGTCCCGGTTGGTAATACCAGTCGAGACTAAAGATCCCTGCCCCGCGGACGACCGTTGGGCAGGGACCTTTAGTCCCGGTTGGCAACCTGGACTAAAGGGTCCTTTAGTCCCGAGGACAAAAAAAATACCGAGGCTAATATTAAATTGAGACATCGTTCTAAAGTCTGTTCTCATCTACTACATTCCTAGGATATGCCGTACATAAAGGTCACTGGGGTAACGTGTACAAATTGAATTCTTCTACGTAGTCACGCTTCTCACGTTTTCATGTAGTCACGTTTGTCACGCCTTCATCCTTTTAACCTTGGGGCTTCTTCTCTGTGTCGGATCAAGTTTTAAGCTTCGAATCGCCACCCTCGCGCTGGGCAAAATCCTTAGCCTCGTGCCTTCATCCTTGGCCCAGGAGAGACGCTTAACCTCGTGGCACCTGGTCCAGTTCCAATCCTGAGTAAAAAAAGTAGAGTTGAAAGCTCGGTGTTCAAGACTAACTTCGAATACTCGAGGGTAAGTTAAATTGCAGCTTAGTTATCAACCAATAGCTATTAGCTTCAAAATCTCAAAATAGCGAAGAGGATGCGAGGTTAGGTGAGTTTAGTTTGTTAGTCCAGAACTAGCAAGGTTAGCGAGTTTCGCATCTTGGCTTAGAAGTTGCGAGATTAAGTTGTTTTTCTTACTGACAGAGCTCGAGGTTGTGTAGTTTTTGGGCGATCCCCAACAGGTGGTTTTCTATTTTGTGAAAATAAAAAAACTGATTTATTTAATAAAAAAATCACAACTAAGTATTTTAAATCAGAAAATATATGAATAAGTACTATTTTTAAAAAAAGAAAAATGTAACATATCTGTCGGTTGCTCTATTTCGAATTATTTGGAATTTATTTTTGTCATGTTCCTAATAATGTTTTTTTTACTTGTAGTTACATATGTTATTATTTAAACTTTCGTTTAATATATATTTAATTTGATGGAACTGCACGCTATACGTACGTATACGTATACGCGCTGTCCCGCCATTAAGCATGATCAGTCCTGCGATCGATGCATAGATTGCCCTGAGAGAGCACGCAAAACGCAACGTAAGCAACGGAGAGAACCAAGTTGCTGGTCAATCAAACAACAACTCCGCTTGCATTATTTTTTTTTGTGATCATATGTGTTTGCGTCTTATCTCCAGCTAGCTATTTATTGCATGGATCCCCTCTGTGCTATATATACAATACGTAGCTTTAAAATTTGAATCATGCATGCGTGCGTGCACAGTGACTTGGCAAAATATTGTATGACAAATGCATCCTTCTCGAACATGCAAAATATTAAGCTTTGCGTCAAATTTTCAAGCGCCAAGCAGGCCTTTTGTGATTGGCCAACACGAGTTTATGATTCATATGCATACAGTACAGTGACTAGGATAAATATTATTGTATTACTAATCAGACAATATTACATCCACATGTACATTTTCTTTTTCCAACCAACGTTGATTAGGTCTGATAATAATATACAAAGCTAATTGGACAAGTGTCTGGATGGGAGAAAATGTATGGAAAAGAAGCCTGAGAGTTGAGGCGAGGCCAGTAGCCAATGTATCCAACTCGATCCAGCAAGCCATGGGCTCATTGGGCCTGTGCACAGCAGCTCAACTTAAAGCTGCCCCTATGAAACAAATACTACCCTATGAATACCATCACGAGATTAGATGGGCAGACTTTTTTTGTTTTGTTTTTGTGTGTGTGTGGGTCCCACCTGAATTCTATTGGTAGGCTTTTGGTAAGCCAAATGCTTTACACCATCATTTTCAACAGTTTTAGGGAAAAATTAGGATGAGTACAAGCGTTTTTCTTAAATTTGATCGGTGGGTTAAGGCCGTCCCCATAGATTTGCACTAAGAAAAAGCTAATCCATATCGCTAATCCATCTTGGATTTGAGAGAAACCAACAAGCTGGAAGTCAAAGCAAGTTAAACTAGTAGCCCCGGGCCGTCAGGAGGTGGTCGTCCAACCTCCTCACAATATCATACAATGCATAATAGAAAATATCAAAGGCTTACTCTCTTTAGGATTTAGATAACTCAATATATCTTTCTTTCTTTCTTGAGGAAAAGATCAATATGTCTTGCACTATGGGGATAAAAGAACAACTATGAACCATATCACACTTGTTCAATATCAGTTCAGGATATCCTCAGTGGCATGGACAAAAAGGAGAAAAATGGAGACCAACAATACAAACAAAGAAATCCATAGGGCAAGCAAATCCCAGTAATAAGGTAGCTAACGGGGGCAACACGAATCACCTCCCCAGTCCCCAGGTAGGAAGGCAGATGAGATGACTAGGTCAGGAGCAGGAAGCAATGGAGAATCGAATCGGTCGGAGAGGAAAGAGGCCCGGCGCAGCGCAGGAGTAGCAGCGGGCGATCTGATCCGATAAGTCGATAGGCCGAGAGGAGCTAAAGGAATCTAGCTGCGCTGCGCGCGAGCAGAGGGAGGCGCAGTGGAATTCCAGTTACCGGCGGGCGGGGCGGTGGAGTGGAAGACGACGGGAGGACGCGAGAAGCTTCGACGGGGACGGGAGAGAAGGAAGACGCCATTAATTAATTAATTAATCATCAATCTATTCGCATCACGCACGGTGTGTTGTATTCGTCTGGATCCCACGCTCGTTGGGCTTGTTTTGTCTTGTTGAAATGGGCGTAAAACGAAATGGGCCACCAAGATAGATAAATGGGCTCTTGAGGCGAGGAGGACTGGAGGCTGAGTTACAGGTCCTCGAGTCTACTAGTTATAAACGCATCTCAAAAGAAAAAAAGACACCTGAGTTTAGTGCTGGGCCTTTTCTCCTCCAGTTTGCTGGCCCAAAACTTCACTATCTCAGCCTATAGGCCCATATCGCTCCGCTGAGAGGAGAGACGGTCGTCTTCCCCGAGGAGACAGGTAGAGCGGCCTCCCTGCCTTGGCTTACTAGAAGGTCCTCACCTGTTGCGACCGAATGCGCAGCTCAAGACCGAATGCGTGGGGCGAAAATTGCTCTTCAGTCAGACGCGAGACCGAATGCGTTGCGCAAAAATTGCTCTTCAGTTAGACGGGATGGAGGACGGCTGGAGCATTTCATGGAAGCATGCTGCCGGCATGCAGAGACGGCGAACTGGGCAAGGTCGCCCTATAAATACCTCTCGCTTCTACAGTCACACTGTCGTGTCTGTAGCAGTGTCATGGCATGGTCCTTCCGAGCAGCTGCAGTGGACTGGAGCTGCTCGGATCCACTTGGACCATGCCATGACAACGAGGAGTGAACAAGCGAGTGTGTGATGGTACCCCTATATATCTACTAGCAAGCAAGTCTCGACGTACTCCTACAATATACGACCATGATGTACTAGTGGCAAGTCCACTACTGTAACTCTACAGAATACACCGCGATGAATAAATTGTTCACTCGGTCCAGTTCTATATCAAGCGTTGCCTTCATTTTACGTGGGTGCAGGAGAGAGCAGAAAAACTTTGAGCAATTGAACTCCAACGGCTAAGCCGTGACGCTTCACTGTGTTGGTCGACCTTGGCAGGCAAGGCTGCCGGCCGACTCGGACGGCAACCAACTCAACTCTGCCCTGCAGGAGGCGATGCCAGAGTAGCGAACTGAACCATGGTCTTCCTTCCTTCCTTCTCAGATGGCTCCAGACTCCCTTTTCTTTTCTGCGTCTCTCTGAACCGTGTGGGTGGGCCGGCCGGGGTGGCGGAGGATGGCCGGTGGGCAATGTCGGGGCGGGGGCTCAATTCGGGAGAGGTTAGCGTGGTGGTGGGCCGCGGTGGATGGCGGGGGCGTCACGAGCTGGACGAGTTCGCCGGCGAGCAGATCGGGAAGGGGGGTGTTCGTTTTGTGCAAGACGTGAACGAACTTGAAAGCTGACCAGGGTAGAAGAAAGACAAAGGAAGAAGAAGATAAGGTGGCCATTGGATCGAAGATCTACGGTTGAAAAATTCGAGTGTTTTGTCCCGACTCTCTGTCTGTCTGTCTGTCTGTCTCCTGTCCTCGCAACGAACAAGCTCTGGTTCCCCGTTTTTGCTTTTCCCCTTTCGCTCCCTCGTCCCCTCTGCCATTTCCCCTCCCCGACTGGTGCGATACAGCCGCGCATCTTCCTCCCTCTCCTCCGGGGCGCGGTGCGCTCCTCACGCCGCTGCCTCCCCCTAGTCGCCTCTTGGCTTGCTTGGGTGCGACGCGAGTCGGCTGGCCTCGTCCTTGCCCGGCGCGCCAAGGGGGATGTGGGGCTGCCGCCCTGCTTGGACTGACTGCAGTTGAGGACCAGGCCAACCACCAGAGGTGGGGGCTGGGGCCGGGACCTGGGCGTCAGCGATGCGGATGAGTGGGAGCAGGTCCAGGCGGCCGCGTCGAGGATCCTGGAATGGGAGGTGCTCCTTGCTGCCAAAAGCCTGGGGTGCCTCGGGGTGGACGACCGAGGGCGACGTCGACGACAATCTTGACGGGGGCATCGAGACGCACTGGAGGAGTTCGATGAAATGCCCATGACACTGTGGCAAGTCGTGCATGAGCTCAGTAGCCCAAGATACATGTTGTGCCTCAAACTCTAGCGAGGTAAGACACAGAACAGTCGATTTCTTTAGCTTCGGTCGAATTCACTCGAATTGCTGTCTCTTTCTTCAATAGTGAACGTAAAAATTTACAACGGGGTAGGGCTCCCCTTTTACAGTGCCCAGGGGAGATTTTTACATTACATTTTTGCCCTTGCTCAACAACTACATTATCAGAATATGCTTTACACAAAGGTCATTTGGGAGTCATGTTTTTCTTGCCACCCGACAGCGTCGTGATTTGCGCTCTCACATGGCTCCGTCAATCACGCTCCCACGTCATTCATGCCTTTACGCTTAGCTTCGCACCTGTGACTCGCCCAGCTTCGGGTCTCCTGGCAAGCTTGGCCTCGTCCCCGAGGCTCACCCGAGCTTCGGTCGCGTTCACCGCACCATCCTGCACAAAATAACCAAACAGCTCGGCAACCCCCGTCCCGGAGTGCCCGAGACAAAGTTATCTGGTTAGTAAACAAACCGAACACTGCCACAGCTTCGGGCCCAACCTCGGGAGCTGAAGGCTAGGGTTCGCTCCCGAAGCCAGGGTTCCTCCTGCGAAGTTGATCTTTTTGCATGGCCTTGGGGAAAACTTGGATTCGAGCGACCTCGAGGATGACCGTTTTCTTGGGCGATCAGCGATCCCCAACAATACAGCAGCAGGTATTGTTGGTCTCCATTTTTCTCCTTTTTGTCCATGCCACTGAGGATATCCTGAACTGATATTGAACAAGTGTGATATGGTTCATAGTTGTTCTTTTATCCCCATAGTGCAAGACATATTGATCTTTTCCTCAAGAAAGAAAGAAAGATATATTGAGCTATCTAAATCCTAAAGAGAGTAAGCCTTTGATATTTTCTATTATGCATCATATTTTCCATTCTAATCACCATGAAACCGAGTTGTCTTTTCAATGAGCGATCGATCGTTACTAGTAGTCTTTAGAATTTTGTTAAATTTTTCTTAAATTTGATCGGTGGGCTAAGGCCGTCCCCATAGATTTGCACTAAGAAAAAGCTAATCCATATCGCTAATCCATCTTGGACTTGAGAGAGACCAACAAGCTTGAAGTCAAAGCAAGTTAAACTAGTAGCCCCGGACCGTCAGGAGGTGGTCGTCCAAGATCATCACCAGCATGCTACCACCTTACTTGGAGACTCAATTCAATTCAATCTTTTTTTGAAAGGAATTCAATTCAATCTGTTTGCAAGGATCCAATGATCGAGACGAACATGCACTCCTCCTCCTCCGTGTTGGCGTGCACGAAGCAGCTACCTGCCTGCCTGCCGTTGCATGCAGACGCCGCAGGAGACCTGTTTGGGTTTGACCGAGGCAGCAGGCGTAGGCGGCGGAGGCACCAACCACCGTGCCCCACGTCGTCTCCCGGCCTTCTCCTCGTCATGTCAACCTCCTCCATCCCCGTCGTCGTCCCCGGTAGGCAGAGGCACGAACCACGACGACATCGCCATCGCTTCCTGCCTCCCAGCAGAGCCGGCGGTTTCCTTTTTTAACCACTTGTTCCCCTTTCGGACGACCGTTTCCTTCTTCCTTTCCAGTTTTGCATTCAAGCCGCATCCTCTCCATTTGGCAAGCACGCCTCCTCTCCCCGTCCGTCGCCATGGCCATGGCCGGCGGCAACCATTCAAGTGGCAGGAGGTCCATGAAACTGTGTCCATTCTAATCATCAACAGGGGCCATCAACCTACTGTTAGTAAGTCTTGTTCATAGGATGCTTTAGTTTCAGTTTGCATGTTTCCTATTCTTAAGCATTGCATGCGCACGAGCACTGACATGTGGTTGCCGTGCGCGTAGGAAGGCATGGCGAGAATAGCTCGCATGTTCCTGGGCTGAGCGATGTTCTAGCGGCATCGTGGGCATGGGGATGGACGTGCCTGTAATGCGGTGTGCAGCTGGCCGCTGCCTGCCTCTACTTTGTACTTGCACAGAATAAAAGGGAAATAGAAAGAACAGAAAAGTTGCCTGTTGTTCGCAGCACCAAACCTCCTGTGTTCCAAGTGTTCGCGTTGAGTTTGAGTGTGTTCTGTGTTCGTGACTTCGATCACGAGCTCGCTAGCCGTCAAGAACGCCGGGCGAGAACCAACAATTGGCATCAGAGCTGTGAGAGAGGGACCTGCGACGTCATGTCGACGAAGCCGAGCGGACACTCGCCGCCGTCGACGGACAAGAAGGCGAAGAAGGCCAGCGGATCCGGCGACAAGTCCCCACCGTGCGACCCTTCTCATAGGCAGTCACCGCGCCGTTCCCCGCGTCGCTCCCGGGCTCCACGCCGTTCGCGCACTCGACATCCACGCGAGGTCGTCGTCGAGCGCATCGTCCGGGAAGGCAGCGGCGGCGGCAACTGGCCGCAGTTGGAGAAGAACAACTACCACGAGTGGTCGCTGCGAATGCAACTGAAAATGCAAGCGCGCCACCTGTGGGACGCCGTCGAGTACGACGACGACCGTGCCGCGCTGGACGCCATCTGCAGTGGCGTTCCGGCGGAGTACATCCCCATCCTGGTGGCCAAGCAGTCCGCGAGGGAGGCCTGGGAGGCCATCAAGACCCTCTGCATCGGCGACGAGCGGGTGTGGAAGGCGACCGCGCAGAACCTGCGCGCCGAGTACGAGTCCATCGTGCTCCGGGAAGGCGAGGCGATCGAAGACTTCGCCTTAAGCCTCACCGGGATCGTACAGCGCCTCGCCACTCTCGGTGACCCGGAGCCGGATGCCAAAGTGGTGGCCAAGTATCTGCGCATCATCCGCCCGCGGTACAAGCAGCTGGTAATCTCAATCGAAACCCTGCTTGACATTTCCCAACTGTCCATTGAGGAAGTGACCGGAAGGCTCAAGGCGGCCAACGACGTCGAGCCTGCCCCTGCACACACCACGAACGGCAAACTGCTCCTTACGGAGGAGCAGTGGGTCGAGAAGTACAAGAAGCAGGAGCATGGCCGCGGCAGTTCCAGCTCGGGAGGAGGCGGTCGCGGCAAGGGACGTGGCCGTGGCAAGCCGCGCGCCCGCGGTGGCAACAACCGCGGCGACGGGCGTGCCACGTCGAATACGGCTCACGCTGGACCAGATGACGAGTGCAAACGATGTGGCAAGAAAGGCCATTGGGCCCAAAATTGTCGTGGCAAGCTCAAGGTGCAGGAACAGGCCCACGTGGCCCAGGACGACGAGTCCACTCTGCTCCTTGCGATGGACTGCGAGCTGGAGGAGGGGATTTATCCCCGAATCGAGCAGCCGCCGCCTACGGAGCTGAGTCCGGCGATTCTGCCACGGATCCGCGCCGATGGGCAACTCCACCTTGTCGAGAAGAAGCTATACGCCGCCTTCGACGAGTCCGGCGACCGGGACCCGAAGCGATGGGTCCTGGACACGGGCGCGTCGAACCACATGTCCGGGGCGCGAGCAGCCTTCTCCAGCCTCGACGCCGGCATCACAGGCTCTGTGCGGTTCGGCGATGGCTCCATCGCCCGCATCGAGGGGATCGGCACCGTCCTCTTCTCCTGCAAGACCGGGGAGCACCGCGCCATCACCAACGTCTACTACCTGCCCCGCCTCACCGCCAACATTATCTCCGTCGGGCAGCTCGATGAGACTGGCTACCAGGTGCTGGTTGAAGGCGGGGTGATGCGGGTGCGCGACGAGGAGCGCCGGCTGCTAGCCAAAATCCATCGCAACCCAGGCCGGCTCTATGTGCTGGACGTCGACATTGCACAGCCGGTCTGCCTGGCTGCACGTGGAGAAGAAGAAGCCTGGGCCTGGCATGCCCGGTTCGGACACCTGCACTTCGCCGCGCTGCGCAAGATGGGCAGGGATGGCCTTGTCCGTGGCATGCCCCTGCTGACCCAGGTGGAGCAGGTGTGTGACGCCTGCCTCGCCGACAAGCATCGGCGGGCGCCGTTTCCGCAGCAGGCGCAAAGGCGCTCGACGGAGGTGCTACAGCTACTCCATGGCGACATCTGCGGCCCCATCTTGCCACAAACTCCAAGCGGCAACCGGTACTTCTTGCTGCTTGTTGATGATTACTCACGGTACATGTGGCTCTCGCTGCTGCCCACCAAGGATGCGGCCGCGACGGTGATCAAGCGCGTTCAGGCGGCGGCTGAACGCAAGAGTGGCAAGAAGCTGCTGGCTCTGCGTACTGACCGTGGCGGGGAGTTCGCCGCGGCCAACTTCATCGACTACTGTACCAAGCTTGGGGTACATCGTCAACTCACGGCGCCATATTCGCCGCAACAAAACGGCGTCGTGGAACGGCGGAACCAATCCGTCGTCGGGACTACACGCAGCATGCTCAAGGCGAAGGGGCTCCCCGGTGAGTTCTGGGGCGAGGCGGTCACCACGGGCGTCTACCTGCTGAACCGTTCCTCGTCCAAGAGCGTGGGTGGCAAGACTCCCTACGAGCTCTGGACTGGCAGCGTCCCTGCCGTTCAGCACCTGCGCACGTTCGGCTCCATCGCGCACATGAAGGTGACGGCACCGAACCAGAGGAAGCTGGATGATAGGAGCAAGCGTACCATCTTCGTCGGCTACGAACCAGGCTCCAAGGCGTATCGGGTGTATGACCCGGTGGCACGGCGCGTGCACGTCAGCCGCGACGTGGTGTTTGAGGAGGCGGCGCAGTGGTCCTGGGCCGAGGGCCAGCGAAGTGAGGCGGCTGACTTCGTCATCAAGGATCTGACGCCATCCGAGATCATCACCACTACAACGACGATGAGGACGAGTACATCGACCGGAGCTGCCTCTACTTCCTCGGGCTCGCCAACGCCGTCTACCCACGCCTCGCCAGTGCATGGCGCTGGGAGCGCGACACCGAGGGCGGACACGTAGCTGGATGCGGACCCGATTGAGTTCGTGACGCCACCAGGAGTCGGTGCGTCACAGCACCTAGACACGGACCACAACAGCGACACCCCTGCCCGGTACCGCAACATCGACAACGTCCTCGGGCAGACTACTCCACCGGGCTTCGCTGCGCGGGAGCTGGAGGAGCAGCTCCTACTGGCAAGCGAGGCCGAGCCAACGACGTTTGCAGAGGCGCTGAAGCACGAGAACTGGCGCCACACCATGCTCGACGAGTTCACCTCCATCGAGGCGAATGAGACTTGGAGGCTCGTCGATCTGATCCCTGGAGTGCGCCCGATCGGTCTTAAATGGGTGTACAAGACGAAGAGGGATGAAGCCGGGCTCGTCACCAAGTTCAAGGCCCGGCTCGTCGCCAAGGGGTACGTGTAGCGCCAGGGGATCGATTTTGATGAGGTTTTCGCCCCGGTAGCGCGCCTGGAATATGTGAGGCTGTTGCTGGCGCTTGCTGCAAGTGAAGGGTGGGCAGTCCACCACATGGACGTCAAGTCCGCTTTCCTGAATGGGGAGCTGGTCGAGGATGTCTATGTTCAGCAGCAGCCGGGGTTCGTGGTGAAGGGCCAAGAGACGAAGGTGCTGCACCTGATCAAGGCCCTCTACGGACTCCGCCAAGCGCCCAGAGCCTAGTACTCCAAGCTTGACGAGTCCCTGATCAAGCTTGGCTTCAGGCGCAGCACGTCCGAGCATGTGGTCTACCTCCGTGGTGTGGGCGCACGACGCCTCATCGTGGGAGTCTACGTGGATGATCTGGTAATCACCGGAGGGGATCCACGTGACATCAGCACCTCCAAGGAGGAAATGAAGGCGACATTCAAGATGAGTGATCTTGGGCTCCTGCACTACTACCTCGGGCTGGAGGTGAAGCAGTCAGGGAGCGGCATCACGATATGCCAGAGCGCCTATGCTGCAAAAATCCTGGAAGGTGCCGGTCTGACAGGATGTAATCCAAGCCTCACTCCCATGGAGTCAAGGCTTAAGCTCAGTAAGTCTAGCTTTGCCCCTGCTGTTGATCCCACATCTTACAGAAGCATTGTGGGCTCTCTTCGTTACTTGATGAATTCAAGGCCGGATTTGGCATATTCGGTGGGGTATCTCAGTAGATTCATGGAGTCCTACTACTGAGCACATGGTGGCCATCAAGAGAGTGTTGAGGTACATTGCAGGGACCTTACATTATGGCTGCTATTATCAGAGGGAGAAGGAGGCTCAGCTCACTGTGGTTTCAGTGACAGTGATCTGGCCGGTGATCTTGACACAAGGAAGAGCACCACTGTTGTCCTCTTCTTCCTCGGTTCCAGTCTCATCACCTGGCAATCCTAGAAGCAAAGAGTGGTGGCCTTATCCTCATGTGAAGCTGAATACATCGCCGCTACTACAGCAGCTTGCCAAGGTGTTTGGCTGGCTCGGCTGCTCGCTGAACTCAAGGGTGAGAAGGTCAGGAGCATCACACTGAAGATGGACAGCGAGTCTGCAATTCAGCTAAGTAAAAACCCAGTCTTTCATGACCGTAGCAAACACATAGATGTGAGATATCATTATATATGGGAGTGTATCGAAGAAAACAGGGTGAAGCTGCAGTCCGTCAGGACAGCTGAAGAACTTGCAGACATTCTGACGAAGGCATTGGGGCCACAACAATTCTGTGAGCTGCGCTCCAAGATCGGCGTCATTGATGTACAGACCGTGAACAAGGCTTAGGAGGAGATCTGTTAGTAAGTCTTGTTCATAGGATGCTTTAGTTTCAGTTTGCATGTTTCCTATTCTTAAGCATTGCATGCGCACGAGCACTGACATGTGGTTGCCGTGCGCGTAGGAAGGCATGGCGAGAATAGCTCGCATGTTCCTGGGCTGAGCGACGTTCTAGCGGCATCGTGGGCATGGGGATGGACGTGCCTGTAATGCGGTGTGCAGCTGGCCGCTGCCTGCCTCTACTTTGTACTTGCACAGAATAAAAGGGAAATAGAAAGAACAGAAAAGCTGCCTGTTGTTCGCAGCACCAAACCTCCTGTGTTCCAAGTGTTCGCGTTGAGTTTGAGTGTGTTCTGTGTTCGTGACTTCGATCACGAGCTCGCTAGCCGTCAAGAACGCCGGGCGAGAACCAACACCTACAGGCCGGCCGGCTTCTTCGTTGTGGTATGCGTATCATCATGTAACTTCTCTTCGTTCTCAATCCCAACTAGAGCTTCTCTTCTTCCACTGAGGTCACGTACGTCCTCCTCGACAAATCGACACCAGCTTCGGCACGAGGCTTTGCCTTTGGCTTTGGCTTCGGCACGCCAGCAGCTTCCCAACTAGCTTCTCTTCTCACGATTTCCTTTCATGATTATCTGCACTGGCTTTGGGTAGTATTTCACTTCATCATTGTTTTGGATTCGCTTCTCGATCTCTTTTTTTTTTTTTTTTTGAAACGAGACAGCAGGAGAGCTGCTGCTATATTAAAAAAGAGGGATGGCTTCTCGATCTCTTCATTCCCTCAACGTTTCTTCCTCTTAGCTTTGCTTTTGTGGTTCTCATGCTTTGTATTGCAGTAACAGAGTTTTTCTTTTACATCTTCAGTGGTCAGTGGATGATACCAATGGCAATCTTTTTTATTTATTTATTTTCAAACTTTATCACAATTTACCTGCGCATGATATCAGATTCCATGCTTTTCACTGCTCTATGCTGTGAGCTTTTGTTGCTGCTTCCAACTTACCATGCTCTTAAGTTTCCAATGAAATTTGGAAAACGGCTACCTTGTAGAATCAATATTATAGTCGTATTATTGATCTTCCACCTTCTTGGATTTCGTGTGCAAATGGTCATTAGACGTCTGATTACTACTTTATTATGAAATCAAGGTCATTATTCTACCCTTCTGTTTCAAAACTTTCAGCTATTTTCTAGCTTCCGGTGGTTCCCAGAGTAACCACTGTCCTTATTTGGATGCTTCATTTGAATTCTTAATGCAGCACTATGCAGTTGTTGACAGCCTTGGTTTATATGTAGGTTAGTTTATTCAGTTCGTGACAACTTTTCCTTTATTACCGGAAGACAGCTTGTCAAACTCCCCATTTTCTGAAGCATCTTTGTGTTTTCCGACTGTCTGTTCAATTACTTTTCATGCTTCCCAAAGGTTTGCAAGATCTCCATGCACATTCCCTGCAATGGCCATTTCTCGATCCACCGAAGAGTTAGTATATAGGCTAGTCGAATATGCCTATTCTTGTGCGAACAAATGCGACTTCGTCTCATTTTATTGTCCATTGTTTGGGTGAGGTTTCCTGTGGTTTGTTTCGTTTTCTCCAGCATCTTATTAAATAATGTTTCTCAAATTCCAGTTATCTTATTGGCATGTCCATGGCAGCAGCAGTTGTATCCCTTCCATTTGGAACTTCCCATAATTCTTTTAAATCTGTTTTGGTCAACTACTACTGTTCCATTGGATTGGATCATCACTCTAACTCTGGACAAATGTCCATCATGTAGATTTTTTCCTTTGAGGCTGGACCATATACATGCTTCATCATCGTCTATACCATATTCTTGGTAAAAAAAATTATAATTTGTTCATCCTTGAAATGAGCAAGCAAAAAGCCCTGTTTTGTGCTCTCTATAAATTTTCAAACATTTTTATGCCATACTTTGTGACAAAATATTTTCTTTTTGTATAAATGTTTTTCTGTTCTAGATCATTGTTGTCTGTTCGGTTGGAAGTTTCAGTTTGTACATCTATTTTGAGAGGTCTTCTGCAGAAAATTATAGGCTGTGTTTAGTTTACGAATTTTGGGAATTTGGCTACTGTAGCACTTTCGTTTTTATTTGGCAATTAGTGTTCAATCATGGACTAATTAGGCTCAAAACGTTCGTCTCGCAATTTTCAACCAAACTGTGCAATTAGTTTTTTTTTCGTCTACATTTAATGCTCCATACACGTATCGCAAGATTCGATGTGATGGCTACTGCAGCACTTTTTGGGAACTAAACAAGCCCATAGTGTTCTGTTTGGTGATGTGATCAGATTCTTATGTCCAGTTATGTTCATACTACTATTCAAGTAAAGTTTCTAAATAAGCTGTTGGTGCCTTTTCACTTTCATGTTTTGGCTTTGAAATTCTTTTGGCATCAGTCTTTGTCCGAAAGAACAAGTCTTGAAACCCTGTGGCTACCTTTGATTTCCTTTTTTGATCACTAGACTTTTCTACATAGTTTCGTGCAACATAAAAACTTCTACGGTTCTACCAACCTAAATTTCTCTAAAAAAAATCCTTCTGCAGGCGTTCTATTACCTCTGTTCATTGCTTAATGGTTGATCTGTTTCATCAGCTGTTCATTTGATGCTGGAGGTAGAAACTCTCTGCAGAAATGGAGCAGAAACCCAACAGAAAGAAGGTACCATGTTCTCTCTTCATTCATTCAAGTTTCATAATCTGTGAGAAAAAGTACAAGTCAGTTTATCTACCCTCTCCTTTTCAGTTTCTCTTTCCAAAAATTATAGGAGCAAAGGATGGGAATGCCTTGTCAAGGCATAGTGCCGAGTCCTCCATCAACTCCACAGGTTGGAGATCTCGAGTTCATAGTATCCTTTTTAACGGCAAAGCAAACCACTTTTTCTCTACATGATGATAAGAGAATACATTTCCTTGTGGGTCTTTGAAAATTGAGGCTTGATGCATATTAGCTTTTTCTCATGGCCATGATTGCTAACTTCAAGTTGGCAAGAGGAAGCATACTAGATTTCTCCTGTTATAAAAATTATTTAACTTAATCAAAGTTAAACGCCATTTACGTTTTTTTCAGTTGATTTGAAAGAGTCCCCAGAGAGGTCATCAGTGGCTTCCCCGTCAGCATCATCCTCATCCTTCTTCAAAAGTCTTTCCGGTATCTACTATTTCATCTTACTCCACTAGTCTTCTGCACTCGGTCATTAGTTAGTTTTATTTTCTTCTACGTATTATCATAGTTCTTTTGACCTTGAATTCTAAGCCTGGTTTTCCTTCCCCTTTTCTAACTTCATCTTTCTAAAATAGAAAGTAGAAGTCTAAAATTCAGCGGCTTCAGCTCTCCTCCAACAACTACTAATACCCATATAGAAGCTTTCAGGTGAGCATAGTTGTCAGTAAAGTCCCTAATTCTTTAAAGTTCTACTCACTTTTTTTATGCGACTGAAATGTTTATTTCATTACATGTCACAAATAGCATATTTTCATTAGCTCAAGTTTAGATATTTACTCTGTTCTTGCTCTGATCTTCATAGGGTGTTTGCAGCCACATGGAATGTAGCTGGAAAGACCCCGGGCATGGGTCTCAATCTTAATGATTTCTTGCCCTCTGATGACTACTCAGACATTTATGTGTTAGGGTATGCACAAATCTAAACATCACAAATTTGCGTTATTGCTATTGTCATATCAGACAGAGATTTGCATGTCTTCTACACAATGCATATCTTCAAACATCACACCCTCTGGCACGTTTCCTTTTGAGCTTATATCGTTGTCATTTTCATATCTTCTGCACCACGAGAGATTTCAGCACATTTAATGTTTCGCTCTTTGAGCTTCGTATCATGCAAACCAGTCACAATTTTCTTTTCTTGTGGTTGTCCTGAACAAGATCTTATCCAACAGTTACCTAGCAACTGACATTGTCAGCTATCTGCTCATTAAATTAAACTAATTACATCGTGGAAAATCAGTTACCGTAGTAACTTGATCAACATCCTAATGCAGCAAGCAAAACTTTTTTTTTTGGTGAATAAGCAGGAGAGCTGCGCATCTTTGTATTAAGAAGAAAATAATCATACAATGCAGCAAGCAAAACTGAAATTGTAATCCATGGACTAAATATCGTTTACCTAAGTTACTTCGAAGTTTAAATAGTAACACGATAGGATTTTTTTTCCCACAATTGCAATGCAGGTTCCAAGAAGTCGTCCCCCTCAACGCCGGCAACGTCCTTGTGATCGAGGACAACGAGCCGGCGTCGAGATGGCTCGCCCTCATCAACCAGGCGCTGAACCGGCCCTCACCGACCTCCGACGCCTACGCCTCAGCCATTTCCGATGCTGCTGCAGCAAGCTTCTCGTTCAGCGGATCCGTAGACACGACGGCCTCTGCATCCCCGGTCTCCGCTCTCCAAACGCCCAGCTCCAGCCCCCTCGACCCGTCGCGGTTCCACAAGGCCTCCAACAGAGAGATCCGCCGCGCCGCCATCACTCGCGGCCGCTGGCTCAAGACGTGCACCTGCCCGGCGGAGCGGCCTCGGAGTCGGAGGTCGTACAGGGCGCCGTGCCTGATGGGATGCGGCAAGAACGCCGACGCCATCGAGAGCGACACGACGACGTCGGATGAGGAGGACGACGAGGTCAGAACCAGCAGCTTCGCGGTGTCCGACGTGAAGAGCCCGGCGGCGCCGGTGGTGGCGAGCCGGCGGGAGAGGTACTGCCTTGTTGCCTGCAAGCAGATGGTGGGTCTGTTCGCGACGATGTGGGTGAGGAGGGAGTTGGTGCCGCACGTCGGCCATGTCCGGTTCTCCTGCGTCGGCCGCGGCATCATGGGCTACCTCGGCAACAAGGTCAGCAGGCTAATCACTGCAGCTCAACTGTCTGACGTCTGAACCTTGATGCATTGCCATATCGTCGTCGTCAAGATCAAATGTGTTTGCTTTCCAGGGGTGTATCTCTGTTAGCATGTCGCTGCACCAGACGAGCCTGTGCTTCGTGTGCAGCCACCTGGCGTCGGGGGAGAAGGAAGGAGACGAGCTCAGGAGGAACTCCGATGTCGTCGAGATCCTCAAGAACACGCAATTCCGCAGGCTCTGCAAGAGATCAGGCCGCAGGATTCCCGAGAGAATTCTCGACTATGAGTAATTTTCTCATATACTGTTCATTGTGCATCACCTGATGCCAGAATTCAGAATTGCGAACTGACAAGTGAAAATGGTTGCAGCCGTGTGATCTGGCTCGGTGATCTGAATTACCGGATTGCTCTGAGCTACCCGGAAGCCAAGAAGCTCGTCGAGGCCAACGACTGGGGTACTCTCTTTGAGAAGGATCAGGTAACTGACCAAATTCATGACAGTGTAGGGCACATACTCTGTCAGAGTTCTGCAAGTGTTCATTGGGCATTCTGAACTGAACAGCTCAAGACTGAAAGGGAGGGTGGAGTTTTCAGAGGGTGGAACGAGGGCAAGATTTTCTTTGCTCCCACATACAAGTACTCATGGAATTCCGACAACTATGCTGGTGAAGACGTCACGTCGAAGAAGAAGCGAAGAACACCAGCATGGTAAGGCCTCTCACCACACACATCCTGCATGACAAATGCAATGATCTTGTGACTTCAGAACACGCCTGCAGTTGTTTCAGTTTCAGCATTGTGAGGTTACTAAAAATGTTCAGTGCTGGATCAAACAAAAACATTTTGTAGGTGTGACCGGATTCTCTGGTATTGAAGGGATAGTGCAACTGTCCTACATCAATGGAGAGTCGAAATTTTCAGACCATCGTCCTGTCTGCAGTGTGTTCATTGTCGAGGTTGCGGTTCCCGGCAACAAACTCATCAAGTTTGCATCAGGTCCCAACATGAAAGTTGGCGTGGAAGAACTCCTATTTGCCCCCTTGTAGCAGTCTAGCAGATAGCACTACATGGAATGCAGAATTTTGCTCAAGATCATAGTAGAATTTCCCCCTGAAGTGCTTGTTATCTTACTAGGCGTTGTTGACTACTAGTACTGATGAAGTTATGAATATGATTCATAGTAGAATCAGCCTGTTCGTTTGGCTGTGACTTGTCGTATACGATCGTAAATTTCCAGCCGGAACAATATTTTTCTCTCACGCAAACCAGCCAGCAGTACTACTTCACGAACCAGCAACGATACGAACCAGCCAACCGAACAGGCTTTGGGTTGAAATCCAAGGGTTCCCAAGACCATGACAACAGAACTGATACCGGATAATAATTAATTTGATTTAGTTTGCGGGAAAAATTAGGAGGCTACTAGCATACTGCAGTCATATGCATCTGTGTACTCTGTTCCATACATGTCAATCAAGAACAAGATGTAAGCATGAAAGGCTCACATTTGATATCAGATAACTGAAGTAGTATTCAATGTTTCAGTTGGTGTTGACTAATGAAAAACATCAAATCAAACACAAAAGTGCCAGTTTCATTTCAGAAGATCGACATTGTCCAGAAATAGTTGATCAAACAACTATATTACAGAGTACAAGAAATCTTCCTCTGAACAAAAATTCAATCCTCATTCTTTTTCTCGGCATTTGGTACTACAGAAATCACTCTCCCCCGTGAAGCAATCAAGCCATCAAGGAATTAGACAGAAGCAAGGGAGAGAGATTTGTTAGGCAATGATAATAGACTTATAGCTATATCTCCCCCGTGAAACAAAGAATGGTACAAGGAATCAACCATTTGTAAAAGACTACGAATATTGCCAACACAAGTTCGTCCAAAGAAACTGCCATCATCATAGAGTACAAACTTGTCGAGTTCACTCCAGTAGATAACTAACAACTTGCTACGTAAAAGCATGAAAGATAATCACCTATGCACGAATGGGAATTTCTAGGGGACAGGCACCAAGACGCAAAAATTAACATCATAACATTCCACAACCTTCAACTCAGATCATTATCAGCTATTGACAAAGCTACATATTACAATATCTTAACCGAGAAGATGACATTGTTTGATAATTTTTAAGCAAAAGGGCAAAAGTGCACAATTGAAGCCTACAGCTCAAGACTTCTTCTTTTTTTGGTTTGCAGGCTTAGTAATTACTCTAGGCCTCACCTAAATCATCCGAAGCTTGATGTCCACCACGTTCCTTATCATGACCTCTTGGTGGCTGCAGAAGAACGATCAAGATCGTGTGTGGAGCCAACTGCCGATCCATACCTCCAAAGAAGTCTAATCCTTCTTCAGAGCATCAACCTTCACCAGCGAATTTCGCGGCGGGTGCGAAACGCTTTGTTCTGGGAAGACCGGTGAATTGACGGAGAGGACGTCACCATCATCGCCCCATACCTTCACCAGAGAATTTCGCGGCGGGTGCGACGCACGTTAACAGTCAGACAAGGCCTCCATGACAGAACATGGGTGCGCTGCATAAGTGGAGGTCTCTCAGTGCTCGAGCTCACTGACTACCTACATCTCTAGGCAGTCGTTGCGGACATCCATCTTGGCAATGAGCCTGTCAAGACCATGTGGCGCTGGACGCCAGATGGATGCTACACTGCCAAATCAGCATACAACATGATGCATAGCGGATCCATCAAAATGTCACGCCATAGATTGATCTGGAAAACGCGGGCTCCGCTTCGGGTCAAGATCTTCATTTGGCTTGCCATGAAAAGAAGGCACTGGACCGGCGACAGAAGGGCGAGACACGGTCTCGACGCACGTGAGTTATGCTACCTCTGCGACCAAGGACAGGAAACAATCGACCACATCATTGCAGTATGCCCGTTCTCCCGTGAGGTGTGGTACTATGTCCTGCAAGCGCTCGGGCAGCAAGTTCCACCAGTCTCCCAAACGACGCTCTCCTGGTGGCGCCGATTGCGGTCAGTGTGCAACGGCGATCGGCGAAACGGCATGGACTCCCTCTTCGCCCTCGTCTCCTGGCAACTATGGAAGGAACGGAACGCAAGATGTTTCTGGGAGTCGACATCGACCGTCGGTGATCTACTGCACATCATCAAGGCCGAAGCCGACCAATGGATTCAGGCCGGAGCACGCGGGCTACGTGCGCTGGCGCAGGGCTAGGACGTCGTCAAGATAGCCATGGATTAGGAACGTTGTTTTTCATGATGTAGCGTACACAAAAACTAACGGCCGGGAACGGAACTCTTGTATTATAAACTCTTTCTTCTAATACAATGATATGCACACTCGTGCGTATTCGAGGAAAAAAAATAGACGTTAGCAATTGCGCTCTTAAAGTGTAACATGACATAAAAAGGAAACTGCGTGTTTCTAGTCAAACTAAACAGCATATGCCTTCCAAAATGGCAAGATTTATAGTAAGATATTTTGCATTTGTTTCTGTCCATTGGTAGTTTCTCTCAATCCCCTCCCCAATTCAACATGTACTATCGCAAAAAAGAAAAATCAACAAAACCATGTTCACATGAAACAGTACCATTTTTACATAAAAAATTACATAGCCAGGCTAATAATTTGTCAAAGATCACAAAGTTTGAATCTTAGTGCGTGCACAGCTTAAGAAAAAAGAAAGAAAGAGGGCATATAAATAGTACCTGAGGTTTGCATGCTTTGGCCTTCAGAATTTTTGGTTTGACGCCTTTCACCTTCAATTTGTATCCTCTTGATCTCGAACTCTTGCTTTATGCCTTGAATTATGTCATCTTTCACCTTCAACCTCTCTCTAGAAATTGGCTCATTCACTTTCGGCATAATCCAACAATGAAAAAGTGTGCAACTCAGCCTTTGCAGTTTGTACAAAGTCAACCTTTATGCTGAAAATCACAAATGCAAGTGACAATATCTTATTAGTTATCATATAAACCTTTAAAGTTTCCAAAATTGGAGCGATGTAGATATGACCCTCAATAGTGAAAAGTGACATTTTGTGACCTCTAAATGAAATGTGGGATGAGGGGGTACATGTTATTAGCTAGTGAGGCACCAACACCCCAAAAAAGAAGAAAAAAGAAAGTGCAATAAGATGTCGAATCGGTCCCAGTTAGTGACAAATTCCTACATAAGCTCCTGAAGAAAAAGAACATATATCAAACAACATAACAAAAGAAAGTGAATATAAGAATTGCAATTGGAAATACTTGCATTGACGTTTTGAAAAATGACACAATCTCTAATGTGTCAAATTATTACTCTATATTAGAATATATTTATTGAATCCAACAAAATTATGATACTTCACAAGTATAGTTTCCAGAAACAACTACCCATATGAGTTTTACATGTCCAAAATAAATAGTTTAGAAGTTATTGATAGTGAAAGTTTGGCTAGAACCAAAGGCAAGTATTATTTGTAACCAGAGAGAATAAATAAATGCTATTACAATTATGCTATTATCTGAACCTGCTTTTACTCGAGTATATAAACACATTAGTCTATTGAACGGATGAAACATACTACATTGAACATACTTTATTTAACAATTGTGTTGAAGAGTTGCTAATTGTTTACGCTGGTTGGGTAGTTTGGATTTTAGTTCGTTTCTGGGTTTGCATTTGTTTCATATATTGAAGAGAATTTGGTATGGTTTGGTTATGCCTTACGGGCTTGAACTTTGAGGTTAGCATGGTTTTAGCCCATGGTGGAACTGTTTCGTAGTTGGGAATTGTTGGTGAGGTTTGCATTTGTTCACCTTGGGGTCGGGGTTGGATGGTGGCCAGGCCCTGAGTGGAGTCCACGCGCCGTGGGAAGACGGCGAGGCGGCGGCCATCTTGGTCGCCAGAGATCGAAGGAGCGCGGCCATGGCAACCAGAGATCAACCGGGAACCCGTGGAACCATGGGCTAGCTACCTCGGCCATTAACAAGGTCAGCAGGCTACTTCACTTCACTGCAGCTCAACTCACTTCCCCCGTCATCCTCAAGATCGAATGCCATGGTTGCACCTCGGTGAGCATGTCGCTACAATGGGGGAGAAGGAATGCGACGAGCTCACGATCGAGCAACTCCGACGTCGTGGAGATCCTCAAGAACACGCAGTTCCGCATGCTCTGCGAGAGATCCGGGCCGCAGGATCCCGGAGAGGATCCTCGACCAAAGCAATTTCTCATACACGCTACGCTACTCACTGCGCATTCACTTGATGCCAGAATTCAGAAATTGCAAACTGACAAAGTGACAATGGTTGAACTCGTGTCATCTGGCTCGGTGATCTGATGCTACTGAGATTAGAAGATTATTAACGAGAGGCAATTGGAAGCGTGTCTGAGGTGCCGTTAACCATAATCTGGTCAGATTGAAAGTGCTTCGCATAGTGTTATTTCATTATTATTTCAAGAATCAAGATTGTTCCTTTCTGCATTGGGTTGGACAAATAATATCACACCTTGGTTTTTGTACTCTGTTCCATACATGACTCTCAACTGAAGAAGGAATGAAAAACCTCTCATTTGGGCCGCGCCCTTGTTATTTTTCATGTTGCAAACCTGGTGCTGAATCAAGAATCAGACAAGTTGTACATGGTGTCAATTTCCTCTCAAGATCGACATAGTCCCAAAAGAGTTTGATAAACATGTATGATCGGGAGTATGAGAACAGTACAACTCAAATCATTTCAAGACGGATGGTTCCTCCGAGCATTGTCAGTCCTCATTCGCGTCTTTCGGCATTCGACACTGCAGAAAGCGCTCTCTCCCCTCCAGCAGCAAGGAATTAAAAAGAAGAGAGAAGGATCTATAGGCAAGGATAAACATAATTACCTCAGTGCCGTACTTATATCTCATGAAAAATGGTACAGAAGAATTCACTCATTTTGTAAACACAAAATGAATGCTTTCTTATATAAGACCACGGGTTATAAAACATTGCCAAGTCTAAGAACTAACAGTTACCAAGGTGCAGAACAAAGGATAATAGATTAAAACAGAAGATTTAGGAATGTGAAAACCAAAGCCAAGAAACCTACTTGTAAATGTAGATATCCACCTCCGGGCCCAGTGCACGGTTGCATGAACCACAATACTGCAGAAAACGGAGAGGCTGCATCTGCATGTTTCCAGGTGGCCGTGAATGAATACAAATGCCAACCTCAGTGTGGCTGCCCTGTGTTTCATCCCTATTTCCCGTTTCTGCCATCTGATCAAGCTTCTGAAATCTTGAGGGTGTGGTGGCCATTGTGAGGGAGCGCTTTAAGTTTTTCTAACGGGATGGCACGGTAATCTTTGCGGGCAATTTGTTAGTTTGTGTGCTTCTCTCGCTATATATATCGACTTTGTCAGGTTACCTGTGGTGTTGTTTTCAGTACCATGGTTGAGAGAGATGTCCGTGCATAGAGAACTAGTGATCCTTAAGAGTCGGCAGGCACCCTTTTTTTCCTTTTTAAGGGAAAGAGGACATGGTAGGTGGGCAACCATTTCTACAGGTTGATTGATGATACTGACCCGATGCAACATTAGTCACCCAGGAAATTAAGCATGGTCATATTAGTAATGCAAGTAATGTACAGCATGTTAACAGTTGGTAGAGTAGATTGCTTAATTTTGCACCACTCATGTACTTGGTGTTCTATAGCTTGAAATGTTTGCAGATTAACTGAAGCATATGTGGACAATGCAATATCATACGTTCATACTTATCACTGGAATGCAGAATGAGGCTTCTTGCTGCTAAAAGTCCTAATTGGGATAGGATGATAGAATTGTCTACATAAATATTAATTACTATGCCTGGGCCAACAAGCTGTAGTTGATGCTGTGTTCCTTCAAGCAAAAAAATATTTAATTTGTATCATTTGATAGAAGAAGACTAATTCCAACTTTTGTTGGTTGGTAATTGTTATCACTCAAATAATTGAGAAAATGACAGGTTCTTTTCAAAAGAGAAGAGAAGGATAGAATTTCACTATCAGCGCATAACATCAGCATTGATAGTTCTTTTCAGATGTCAATTCAGCCGTCTTTTATTGGTTTCTTTTTTTTTTCTGCAACTAAACGACGAGGCACTGATGTGCTTGTGCTGATTTCACGAGAAGCCTTTTCTCCATATGTAGAACATTGTTGTTGAGGATTGCCCATGTCCTCCTATTCAGTATTGGTCATAGCTTAGGGAGGAATTGCAAACAAGCAGCCGTGTTGGTTAATTAGGATTTGAAATTTCTAGAGTTTGCTGGTTGCAGTATTTGATTATTTATTCCAAATTCAAACTCAGATTAAGGTAATTTGTTGTTATTATCACAAAAGGCAAAAACCTTAAACAATTTCCGGACATTGGATTGAAAACGAGGGGTTGAGATCAGACTCACCAGGTGACCCTTTCCCAGCTCCGGTGATCTCCTTCCGTCGAGTGAGCCACCGTCCCACGACAGATCGAGCCGATCCGATGGCGAGCGGCGCTTACCCCGTGCAGCTCCTCCACCGCCCCGGCGCCGCCGAGGGCCAATGGCGCAACCTCGGCGCCGCCTACGCCGCCGTGACCTTCCTACGCCCGCAGGGGCAGTCCCTCGTCCTGTACGCCGCGGGACCCGACGGCCAGCCGCAGCAGCCGCGGCGCATCGTGTTCGTGTACCCGATCCTCCCCGGCGACGCCTTCGAGCGGCTGGACGGCGCGACGCTGTCGTGGGCGGAGCCCGAGTCCGGGGATGAGTTCGCGCTCTGCTTCCTCGACGACGACGCCGCGTGCGGGGCCGTCTGCGGCGCCATCGCCCCGGTGGTGAGGACCCCGGCGGCGGTCGACGGCATCGCGGACATCCTGGCGGGGCTCCGCGTGGCGAGGGAGGAGGGCGCGCCGGCGCCCGGCGGAGCGGACATCGCCGCGCGGCTCGCGCGGCTCAGCATCGGCCGCCCGTGAACTGAAATCCTTTCAGTTAGGCAGTTGTCGTCTTCAGTTGAGTCTTTCTTTCTCAACGCAGTTCAGCTGCCTGTTTAAGCTGCACATACACGGGATACACCGCAGTTGTACCTGCTAAATGTGATGGCAAAATTCTCTCATGCTTCTCTCTATGATTGCAAAATTTGTTCAGTGCTTACTGCAGCTTCATCATGACGAGATGCTACAATGGTTGAAACAGTACAAAACACCACCAGTTTCTCCAGATGCAGACCTGTAACCATCATGACTAGGTCCTGGTTAGGTATTACATGCACAACCACAGGACATGGATATCAGACAATGGATTTTTGACAAGTACCACTCTTGATATCAGATGATAAATTTCCATCGAATACACAAGTCTCAGCTTTTTCAGCATGAAAAAATTGAGCCCTGTGCCAACAGTTACGCCAATGTGGCAACATCATACCAGCATTGACAGCACAACACTACAACAGCGATCCATCCTGGTTGCTCCTAACAAGATGTGGATCCTAATTGTAAATTTGCCCTTCTCTTGAGAAGACAAATTATACCAGCGACAACTTCAGCAGAATTGATATTTGCCAGTTCTCCGCGCCTGACTGTCATAACATCTGCTGTAAGCTCCACCAACGCTGGGAGAAGCAATGCATCTGTAAACTTTCACATCAACAGTAACCAAAATCAAGTTAACATTGATCTTCGAGATAAAGTGGGAAGCATTTTTCCACAAAGTAAGAAATAACAGAGCAAAACTCAAGGCATCAAGTAAATTCATTCTGCACGCTCCAATATAACAAACTAATTGACAGCACAGACATATAAAACTTATCTTTATGCTTGGATTTTTTCCCCCTGACAAAACAAAATTGGCGAGATTTTTTTTTTGAGGTAAATACAGTAGGGGAGGCCCCTACTATGTTAAATATATTAAAATGGGGTTACAAACTGTACAGAAAGTTAGAAAAGATGTCAGCAAAGATCTACAAAAAGAATGAAAACGACAGCTAAGAAAAATAGAGAGCGTGTGAGTTAGTTAGCATAAGGAGTCTATCCAAGCTAGAAAAGGAGCTCTTTTGTCGCTCTTGAATCTGTGAGCCTGCAGAGTAGCATTTGACTTGATGATTATGCTGTGGTGATAAGTTATTAGATTACTGCTCACCCCTAAAAATAAGGGGATTGTAAATTTCCACCATCTATGTAGAACTTTCAAAGCACGTTAGAAGGTAAATAATAACAAAGCATGCAAAGAACAACCTCTTATGATATTTATACACTGGAAAAATGTTACTAGCAAAAGTAAAATAGTAACTTTCCAGTCATATTTAAGATTGCAAAATTACTGGCAAAATTAGACATATTGGTACATATTCAAGAGTGATCAATGTGAAATTGTGAACTATAAACATTTGATAATAGTTGAAGAAAATGCTCACCACATTCGCCAAATAAGGCGCCTGATTCCAAGCTCTTCATATCAGCAATACATCAATACACTGCGTATTTCTCAATGGAAAAGTGAAAAGGTGAAGGCAAGTTCACTCTAAACCAGTAACTTAGAAGTCTAGTGGCATCCCAAACATATCGTTGATCTCCGCCATAATATCACGAGTGGTTGAAAGCTCTAGTTTGTTTCTGGCGAATTGATGAAACCCTAAGTGCTAACCTAGTTTATCAAAGTGTTCATGAGATAGGTAGCACATTCGAAGTGGCGAAGCAAATGAAGATCATAACATGATGACGGTGATGCCATGGTGATGATCAAGTGCTTGGACTTGAAAAGAAGAAAGAGAAAAACAAAAGACCCAAGGCAAAGATATAAGTAGTAGGAGCCATTTTATTTCGGTGATCAAGATACTTAGCGAGTGTGATCACATTTAGGTTCGATAACCGTACTATTAAGAGGGGTGAAACTCGTATCGAAATATGGTTATCAAAATGCCACTAGATACTCTAACTCATTGCATATGCATTTAGGATCTAGTGGAGCTAACACCCTTGAAAACATTTGTGAAAATATGATAGCACATGTACACAAGGTGATACACTTGGTGGTTGGCACATTTGAGCAAGGGTAAGAAACTTCACCGGCGGAGTGTCCGCACATAGAGTGCGGACAGTCCGATGGTGCCACCAGCGCCCTGTACAGAAAAGACAGGGTTTCACCGAGTGCATCGGACGCTGGTCTCAATTAGACTGGAGCGTCCGGTCAGTGGAAGCAGTGAAGACGCTGGCATCGGTCTTAGACCGGACACTGGGTCACTTCATGACCGGACGCTGGATGGGTGCGTCCGGTCCCACTGACGCGACAGCGCACAGAGAAGACAGTGTGTGATCGGATGCTGGGTGAGTCCGGTCGGGCATGACCGGACGCGTCCGGTCACCTCTGGAACCTTACTGGAAGTGACCGGACGCTGGAGTCCTGCGTTCGGTCATGATCGAACTGACGCTTCCGGTCGCGAGTGGAACCTTACTGGAAACGATCGGACGCTGGTGTTGGTGCGTCCGGTCACTTCGAGCAGCGCGTCCGGTCATCACTTGACCATTGGGATCGGGCGCTCAGTATTTGAAGAGAGGGATGACGTGGCAGCCATCCGTTGACCGGACGCTGGTAGGGTGCGTCTGGTCGATCTAACCAGAGCGTCCGGTCACCCCGAGTTGTGCCCAGTGAAGGGGTACAACGGCTCTATTTCGTGGAAGCTTCTATTTAAGCCCCATGGCCGGCTCTAGCTCACTCTCTTGGCCATTTGCATTGACATAGCAACCTAGTGAGCTTAGCCAAAGCCCTCCCACTCATCTCCATCATAGATTCAACATCTTTGTGAGATTGAGAGTGAATCCAAGTGCATTGCTTGAGTGTTTGCATCCAGAAGCACTTGGTGTTCATGTTTTACTGCAGCATTCGCTTGTTACTTTTGGTGGTTGCAGCCACCTAGACGGCTTGGAGCAGCGAGGATCGTCAAGCGGAGGTTGGTGATTGTCTCTGGCTCCGATCGTGGTGATTGTGAGGGGTTCTTGACCTTTTCCCGACGGAGAGCCATAAGGTACTCTAGTGAATTGCTCGTGGCTTGTGTGATCCTCATCTTTTGTTGGTTGTGTGGCACCCTATTGAGGGTTTGGCATGTGATGCCAATTAGCGCGTGAATCTCTAAGTGAGTGAATCACCACAACGAGGACTAGCTTACCAGCAAGCAAGTGAACCTCGGTAAAAAATCATTGTGTCATCATTTGATTTTCGAGGTGATTGGTCTTCATTGGTACTCATCCTTGTGATTGATTGGTTCACTCCTCGACACGGCGGTATAACTATCTTGCTCTCTCTCTTTACAATAACACAAACTAGTTGTCAAGCTCTTTAGTGTAGCTAGTTGTGAGAGCTTATTAGTTTGGTTAGTGTGGCTCTTTAGTTAGCATTTGAGAGCACATTAACTTAGTGTAGTGACATAGCTATTGTGTGGATATAAACCATTTAAACTAGAATTGTGGTAGACGGCTTGTAATTTTAGTAGGCTAGCGCAACACTTGCTTCGCCTCATAATTGTCTAACCGGTTTGCTAAGTGTTGTTGTAAAAATTTTTAATAGGCTATTCACCCCCCTCTAGTCATTAGAACCTTTCAAGAGGTATCGGAGCCGAGGTCACCGTGATTCGAGGCTTAACAACCTTCGGTGTAAAAATAGCTCAAATTAACAACACCAAGAAGCCACCCCAATTTGATGGCTCTAACTATCCCTATTGGAAGGCTAAGATGACAACTTATATCAAGTCAATCAATAGGAATGTTTGGAAGGTGGTAGAGACCAAAATTGAGATTGATGATGAAGATGCTCCCACCGTCGCCTAAGAAATGCTACTTCAAAATAATGACATTGCTCTTAGTGCCATCCATGATGCTTTAGATGAGAGAACATTTGAGCAAATCAAGAACATTGAGAGAGCTCATGAGGCATGGAAGAAATTGGAGGAATCATTTGTGGGCACTCAAGCCATGAAGGATGCAAAGGCATACATTCTCAAAGAGAAAGTTTACAAGTTTTAAGATGAAGGAGGATGAGAGTGTGCCGGAGATGTTCCATAGGCTTCAAGTGCTTGTCAATGATCTCAAAGCATTTAGAGAAGAACTGAAGGATAAGGACTTCTCCCATAAGTTCTTGAGATGCTTACCTTCAAGATTTAGCACATTGGTCACTATTCTAGTGAGGAGTGGTTTGGACACCATGACACCTAACCAAGTGTTTGGAGATATAATGACGGATGATACATATAGAGATGATGATGAGAAGGAAGAAAAGAAGGAGAAGAAAGATGAGAAGAAGAAGAGTGTGGCATTCAATGGCACATCATCCAAGGTTCATATGTAGTCACTTGGGATAGTGATGCTTCCTCAAGTGATGATGATAGTGATGATGACAAGATCATCAAGAAGAAGGCACTTGCAAGCATTGCTATTAATGAGAAGCATTCTCTCTTCGACACTCCATCATGCTTCATGGCTAAGGCCACTAAGGTACAAATTTGTGATGATAGAAGTGATGAGGAACATGATAATGAAAATAAAAATGAAAATAAAAGTGATAGTGATGATGATGAACCTACAAAGGATAAACTATTTGACATGCTAGAAGATGCTAAAGAACACTTTGACATTAAGAGAAGAGAATGCAAAAGCTTGCGTAGGGAACTAAAAGCCCTTAAGCAAGCCTTTGATGAGCTCAACACATCTCATGAGAGGCTAGAGGAAGCCCATGAGAAGCTTGACAAGGCTCACAAGAAGCTTAAAAAATCTCATTCCTCTTTGCTTGATGAGCAAAATAAAAAGAAGCATGTTGAGACTTGTGATGTAAGCTTAACTTGTAATATAATTGATGAATCATTATCTATGCCTATCATTGTTGCTCCCGCTAACCCTTCTTGTAGCATTTCTACTTCCACCTCATCTAGTAGTGATGGTTTTACTTACGATGCCTCACTAATGGTTGAGAATGAGAACCTCAAGAA